GCAGAGGAATACGAATTGTTGGTCACCGAAGAGAGTGGTAACGAACAAAATGAACAAATGTAAGTAATTGATTTCACGTAATTTATATTGCACATGGTTCATGCCATATAATCAAGTATATGAATATTGTTCTTACTATCACTTATTAACGTTGATATATATGTTACGCATCAATGTATTAATCATTGTTTAATACTTAGTAAATCGAGATAAAAAATTTATTTTATATATAATCAATCGGGGATTACTTTGAAAAATAAGAATAAGAAATTAAAAAATATTGGATATTATTATGCAAAACATACAGATGAACCCGTTTTATAGTTCTCATAGAAAGTTCTATTCGCTATATCGAGCTATGAAACGGAAGTTATAGCTTTCGAATTGTGGCATGCATTGTCATTAGATAGACAGTATGCCCCGCTGATCTAACAATTTCACCTTGTACTATGACCGTAATGGTACGATCTATGCGTTTTGTTGCAGGCTGTGTGATGATGAAATGTAACCATCATCTACAGCTCAGTAAGTAAATGAAACCAGAACTGCATGATATATAGTTATGCACGATGCTCGTGTATGCATAATTTATTAATTAGAAAGTCGGCTAACTGCTTGTTTTTTTGTTCCATCTCTTTTTTTTTTTTTTTTTTTTTTTTTTTTTATTTTTCATGTCGTCAACATATCATTTAAATTTTAAATTGCTCAAATTGATCGTTAAAAATCATAAATTTTTAGTATGATAAATCGCTGACCGAAAAAAAAAACATTCATAAACACAAAATGCTCGTTATATATTTATATCAACAGCAAGAATTAAAGTTTGAATTTCAAACACTTTTTTAAATTTATTGCTTTTTAGGATTATTGTTTTCGCTTTTACTAAAATATGATCATAATTTGCATTATTTTTAATCAACTAATTGAATCTTACGTTATATTGTAGAATATTGTAGTTGAATCTTCTATAGTTTACATATCATTTTTGATCTAAGAAAAATAAAAATTTTATTTAACGCAAAAATAAAAAATATATATTTTTTCCTCAGGCCAAACGATTCCATATCGGAGGATGCGTTTTCTCCAAATTTGGAGATTCTGGATGGTGAATCCGTGGACATGGTTCAAGGTACAGATATCCAATTTAAAGGATATTCTGATGATATATCTACAATTAATCCATTGGACTCTATTCATCAGCAGTCGAAGAACCAATATTATGACAGTGGTGATAGCGACGATTATGCTGAGAGTGATAATTGAATAAGGGAAAGTTGAACGTTATTCGGAAAGAGAAAGCAAAGAAAGAAGGAAATTATCTCTAGACGGAATTTAGTAGTTTAAATGCGTAGTTGTTTTCTATATAGTAAGAGTGTCGTGTAATCTTTTTGTGAACAGTCGTATATTATGATAAAATGTTTCTGGGCGAATTATTCAATACGAATCCATTCGGTGATCTAGTCTGAATGACTTCTTTAAAGTACAAAAACATTCAAGAATAATTAAGATATTCTATCTTATATTTAAGTATTACTTTAAAAAGATATCGATGAAATAGAACTTTGGATGTTTTTTAAATATTAAACAATTTTTAATTGTTTGAGCTAAGAAAAAAAATAACAAAAGAAAAATATCATAGGATTCTCTTTGAAGCAGAGAAGCTTTGATATCACCGAATCGATCCGTAACTATGAATAATAGTCGAGAAGAAGATTCAGGCCACGGCACGACGATGTGTGATAAGCAAGCGTCATTGTTCAATCTCTCTATGATATACATATTGTGTACTTCACGTTGTAAATAGACAGTAAATCACGAATTCTTATTTTTACTTAATGCGAGAAAATCACTTGAAAAAAATGCGAGTCTTTCAATTGCTGCAGCCATTTATAAGAAAATCGATTAAAAATAGTTCTAGAAATTTAAAAAAAATTCAATCAGTTAATTATTTTGACAAATTATTTTCTTTTAATTCAAAAGAAGTTATTTTTTAATCTTAAAAAAAAAAGAAAAAGAAAAGAAAAAGAAAAAATTAAATTATTTGTAAGAATATGTTTCTCTAAAAGAAAACTTCGAGGCTGCAACAAATGGAAATTGCGTGTCAAAAGATTCATAATCGTTGGATTTGCGAGTAAGGGGTGTTATTACCCTATGTAATCATCTTGTAAGTCATAGTGTTACACTGTACGCAAAATATTGCACGCAAGAAACGTTCAAAGGATCGAGTGAGATTGTATCAGTAAAGTATTCTTCCAATTCGATCCATTATAATATTCATAAAATGAAGTGTATGTTTTTCGAACGTTGCAGACTATGATCTATGATTGCTGTTTCTTTTCCACGTGTTTGCAGGTAATTTCTTATAAAATGATGAAAACAAGCCAAAGATGAGACGTGTTCCATTACCTTCAATACGAAGGTACAAAGGAAAATGAAGAAACAAAGAAACTATGAACGCAGATGCTGCTATAAATGATGAAACGTTGTTCTTTCCAACTAAGTGACATTTGTTTCGAGATTCAAAGGGATTTTGTGAAATTTCCTTTAAGTGTTGGACGAGTGGACATAATTTTTTATAAGTTAAAGCTTTATAGTGTTCTCCTCAAAACGATGCATTCTGAATATCATTGTTTTTCTTCTTTCTCTTTTTTTTTTTTTTTTTTTTTTT